CCCCAAAACCCCAAAACCCCAAAACCCCATACAATGCCCTACAAAATTCTGACTGAATACTTATTTTAAAGTATAAAATTATTAACCTGATCTATTCATTTGTAGAGCTTCTTAGTTTGAACCTTGAGCTGCTTTCCATCTACCTCTAAAGTTCCCTCTTCTTTGCTAACCCAGAAAGATTCAACAAGCTTCTTATCAGCATCGCTACCTTGAATATCTAATCTTCTCTTGTTGTAATATTCGAATTGTGGGTGTTCCTCCATTGGAAGTGGGATACCAGTGCCTCTCCACATTAAGACTCCCATAATTTCTAGTGATGGCTCCTCTCCGTAAACACCAATCACACCTAAAGCATGCTTACGCAACTTATCATCGATTCTTTGCATGAAACCGTTCATAAGATTGTTTGTAACATGAAGCTATACACCCTCTCCATCGTATTTTTGATAGTGTATAAACCAGATTGAAAAAGCATTGTCATCCCATTAGGACCATAATTATTAAAGAGCTTCTCTCTTGTCCTCAGCATTGACAATCAAAGTCTTGTAATTGAAAAGATCGAAAGTGGATTGAGGAAGTTTATCCTCCCATGATGGTTCTTTCTCCTTTTTCTCATCCTTAGCCTCAATTTTTGGCTTCTCTTCTTTTGGTTTCTCTTGCTTTTATGGTTGAGGTTTCTTTTCTTATTGTTTGGAGAAATCGAACTTTGGGTTTATTGGCTTCTTGCTAAAGTGAACTCTACCAAAGACTGACACAAAAGTAGGATTCTCAAGAATGATTGAGCAATATCTACTAAGATTTGGAATACTCTCTTTTCTGAAGGTTGCGTCAAGAACCGTTTGGAGTGGCACAATAAGATTTGCAACTAAGGCAACATCAGCTAGAGTCATCTGATAGCCAACTAAGAAATTTCTCAGCTTAAGATGACTTTCAAATACTTGCAAGTTCTTTTTGAAAGAGTTTAATTCTAAGCTGAATGACTTTGGATCAGCATCGACCAAGCCGAATACTTAATTTTGAATTTACTGAGATTATGGTGCTATTGATGAGCTTACATAATCTACCCATTAGTCGATTAAGGCAGCTAAATTGACATTATTAGATCATTTAAGAATATTACTTTACAAATTGCTATCACCATAGAATGATGGTCTTTGTCTTGCTAAATACTTAGCAATAGTCAAGCCTTCAAAGATGGTAAAGCCCTCAGGAGTCTCTAGAATTGGGAATTTGCCAGTCTAAGACTTTGCTCTTAGTTTATCTCCTGCATTGGTTTTGGGTTCTTTCTCTTTTCCTGAGGCTTGAGGTTCAGGGGCGGGAATCTGAATTTCATTGAAACTTAGATTCAAAAGCTTGCCAGTGACTTTAACTAGCAAAGTTGAGATATCTGCTTGATCTAATACGTAAAGTTTCTACAATAGCTTTAATCAAATGTTGAGTATGTACCATTTTATCGAAAAGATATTTATTAAGAATTAAATATTAATAAACTACAATTAATCTCTAATCATTTATACTCTTAAGGACCAATCAAATAGCTGTACTAGAGTATCTCAACATCAAGAGTTTTCTTATTTACTTTACTACTAGTTTATATTCCTTTGTTTCATTAACTGATGAAAGTAGGGATTAGTTTCAAATAATTCAAATTAGGAGTCTTCAGGATTATTAACTTGCTTTTCTTGCGTGAATGGTAAGTTGTATCCTCCCTTAGAGCTATTCATACCAAATGATATTTACTCTGATAACCTATTGTCTTTAGTCTGGAATGCCTTTTCATTTTCAGACTTCATTTATTGCTTGACCTCTCTTCGTTTGGATCTTGATTCATATTCACTGTTGTTTTTCTTACTTTTAGACAATAAACTGCTTGGATGAGGTAGTCTTGCATCTTTGTCTAAATGCTTTAGCTTCAAAAATTTTTTTCTTTTATTGAGAAGAATTATTGAGAATACTTCTGTGAACATAGAGATTAAATCTTCATCATTAAGGTCCTCATCTTCATCATCTGATAAAGCACTCATTTTGCTCAAATCCTAAAATCCTCTTTTGCCATCCTACTTCGTATTGATCAAACTAATTTGATTTTCTTTAAAAAAACGCTTTTACCCTACATTTTTCCCTTTGGTATTATCTATGATATCATACATGATTTAATACACAGCAGGCTCACTCTCCTTCTACTCTATAGGCTTTTCGTTTTTAATAAGTTCCTATATCTTAAGATTTTATTGCTCAACAGTAAACTTTCTGCTGCTTGTTCTAAGTAGAACCTTGTTTATTGGCAATTCGCATTATTTATCAGCTAAGTACTCTAGTATTACTTTCAACTCTTTAGTATTCATTGTATTTATCATTATCAAATGATTTTTGTTTTTATTAATCATATGCTATTTCGTTTACTAGTTTCTAGGTTTTAATTTTAATTTAATTTTCCTTTCCTCTACTACCTAGTGGGAAGATGAAGCCTAAATGTTTTTAAAACTTAAAGTGTCTTGAGATTATTAAATAAGTTAATTCTTTTGCTATTTAGATTCATTAATTAGCCTGTCTTTTTACTGATCAACTACGTTAAGTATCAGTGATTTTTATTGTTATAAAAGGTTTGCAAGCACAATAGGACTGATTATTGGCTTGCTATTATTGTCTTTCTTTTTTTCAAGTTTGCTCTCTTCTAATTAATTTTGACTAGTATTTTGTTCTTAGCCTTCATCTTCATCATCATTTTCTATGTAATTTTGCAAACAATACTTGATTTAATTGGACATTAAATCGTAGAATAGTTTAAAGCTTTCACTTTGAGTTTCGCCTAAATCTTCTTTTATTAAATTAAACAACTTTGATACTCCTTTAGGCCTTCCCTCTTCATCGCATTCATAGTCATCATTCTATTACGACTAAGAATGCTAATCTAATTCATCATTTTCATCGATTTGATCATCTTCGTCTTATTCTTAATCACTTTAATCTTGATTAGTATTTTCTTCGATTGACTCACTTGATTTTGATTCAAAAGAATCCTCTGACTTACTTTATTCACTTAAACTATCTTCAGATTTATGGCTCTCACTATCAACTTCCTATTAAGAGTCCAATTATTCACTAGAGTAATGCTCCTCTTCAGTTTCATCGGGAATCTTACTTATACTCCTCCCGCTCTTTTAAGACATTGCAAAAATTATATTAATATTTTTAATAAATTTAATATAAGAAATATATAGATAGATTACAGCGTTGACTTATCTTAATCATTGATAAAGAAACTGAACAGTGGTTTCTCTTAGAAATGATATTTAAACCAGATACAACAATAAGCAATCACTCACTCATTTAATAAAGTTACTACTCTCGACTCAGAACATAATTGTGTTATTTAATCTCCTCTTCTTTATCACTCCATCGTCAATACTGAGTTCGTCATCACCATCTTATCTAATTGACATATTTCTGTTGTGAATCACACTATTAGCTTTGAGAGAGTCTGAGTACTATTTCGATCTTGAGGTTTGGAACTGGGTTGCGGTTAGAGATGATCTTGGTGATTGTTATGTTCTTGGAGATTTCAAGCTGTCTACGTATCCAAAATCACTAGGTGGTCTGTATGTACCAGGTCCTGGGGTATCTTTAGTCATTTTGAGTTGCATCCTTGCTGCTGTACCGAATCTTCGAGTGTTAGAATTTTTCCAATGCGAAAGGACATAATTTTGATCCATGTAGTCTCTGGGGTCATAAGAACCTGGTCCTGGAATAAATTATTTTTTCTCGATCACAACATCCTTAAATCTCTCTCCCCTAGGCGATATCTAAGGTGCCTTTGAATTTCTAAGGAAAAAGTGATAATAAGATCGGGTGAGTTACTAAATTGTAGATAGGTGATAGATTCCGAATTTGTCAAGACTGACTTTAGGTTCATAAGTACCTGGGCCTGGAATAGCATGTTTCTTACTGAGACTTACAAGATCTGAATCATGATTAGTAAATAATTGATAATCTCACCTTAATGATATGGTGTCCTTCCTTGTAAACTATATTTCCTTCCTTCTTTACCAATTGATGTGAGAAGGGTGTAATGACCTGGACCAGGCAAGCTTTTATCTACACTTAATTTCTGAGATGGAATATAAACTTTTTCGTATGCAACTCGAGAAACTCCGAAAGTGTAGGCTTTACTTTTGGAAAAGCTGGCTTCAGGATTGAATTCGAATGCAGATCCGAGTCTGTACGAATCAGGAGAGGGGTTCTCAACTATAATTATAAAGAACAGTTTTGGAATTTTTTACCACTTCTATCATGTTTATCAGCGAACCTATCCCCCACGCCGAAACTGGGAGCTCTATTTCCGAATGCAGATGGCAGCGTGTAATTCATATCTGTGATTGATTTTTTACCCTTTGGAAATCTTGGTCCTTTGCCGAATGAAAACTTCTACTTAGCAGTGGAAAAATTAGTCATCTCAAAGTTAGTGATATATCCACCTTATTTATTGCTTAAAATCGTAGACATTTTAAGATTAGGGGATTTTATTAATTTTAGTTAACAACTATAATTAAAATTTGTTTTAATTTCAAGATTGAGCTGTGGATTTCTGTAGCTTGGGGTTTTGGGGTTTTGGGGAGATCGGAAGAGCACACGTCTGAACCTC